TTATATATATATATATATATATATATATATATATATGTATATATATATATATTACAAAAAATACTTCTTCTATCTAAAAATAATTAAGTTATTTATGATATATGACTAAAGTTATAATCAATTTAATTAATTTGAATGGTAGCATTAAATTGATAAAATTATATACAATGACATATTTAAGAATTATATTGAAAATTTTATACTCTTAAAATAGAAGGAGATTTTATTTTTTCAAGAGTTTGTCCAATGTTTTCAAAACTTATTCAACTTAAATATCTCATTGATATGTACTACTCCCTCCATCCTTGAATATTTTTCCACTTTTGAATTTTTTGGTCAAAATTTGTAAATTTGACCTCAGATTATTAGATAATGATACAAAAAGATTTATATTTGATTTAATATATCAAATATTTTCAAAATATTATTTTATTTAAATAAAATACAATGTATATTTTATTTAAAAGGTCAAAAATTGAAAAGAATTGAGCAAAGAAAGTTAAAACTGGATAAATACTTAGGGACGGAGGTAGTATGTATTTTTGAATACGGAGTAGTTAAAAGTTTAAATTATAGTTACAATATTATATTTTTTAATGTTTTTTTGAAAATAAATCATATTAGAATTTTTTTATCAAAAAATATATTATATATTTCCACTTTATGCAAGATGACATAAGAAGGCTTTAGTTAAGGTGGTGGTTAGGCATATATAGTGATTGGGAGGTCTTGGGATCGAATCCCTACACGGTAACATTTTGGAGGATTTTCGCAAAAAAAAAAAACCGGCTTCCGGTTCAACCGGGCGGGTCCTGCTGGTTTTTCCGGTTCACGCCGGTTCGTAGCAGAGGTGGTCTTTTGTCCTGGACCGGACCGGTTTGGCCACTGGATCGCCGGTTCTCGGTCTGAACCAGCCGGTCCGGTCCGATTTTTAAAACTATGACAGGTGCACATTTGGTGTAGAAATCTACCCATGGCGGTGCTAGAGGGACAAAGTTCTCTAAGTCTAAAAATGGCAATAGTATTATTAGTAGCATTATCAAAACCAAATGCAAATACTTTACCAATTAATAAACTGTATTCTTTCAAAGTATGCTCAAGTAAAAGAACAATATTATCACCCGTGTGAGATTCATTGAAATCGCAAAATGCAATGACACGTTTATGCGTTATCCAATGACTATCGATCCTATGAAACGTAACACCCATGTAAGACAAATTATGATAATAAGTTTAACTCCAAATATTAGAATAGATAGGAACACGAGAATAAAGAGTAAGAACAAAATTAGCTACATTATTTTTCCAACTTTATATTGTCTAATAATTTCTCTTTTAATTATTTTCTTAAAACCCTCTTACTTGAGGGTTTAATATGTTTTGAAAATAATCAATAAATTCA